ATCTGTATAATGTTACGATAATACATAGAATAAACTTTCCAAAAAACACTAAATAAGTGCAACATAAATAAAGTAAGAGGGATGCAAAATATTTCATAACGTGTGTGCATGAAAAAATTGTCACCTCCATGCATAAACTTCTTGAACACAGCCATGATTTATTAAATCAGTCAACACAGTGTCTGAACAATTACAGATAACAAACACAGCGCCATCTTGAAAGTTTTTGACATTTTGCCACTTCTGGGATAATAGTTTTGGCGCACTGACCTTTATGGTACGATTTTTCAAAAAATAGCCTGCTAATGCCATGGAGGTGACACAATTTCCATGGTTTTGTGTCACACCGTGGAGGCGTTTTTTCTTGTTTTCATGAAAACTACAGTGATAATAGTTAGGTTCTTAGATGAAACATATTGTAGGATATGATCTTTAATTTGAATCATATCAGAAAACATTGCTTTTTTATTGTTTTAAGTCCGTTTTTGAGAATGGCCCACGTGAATCACTGCAGTCGCATCATCAATATACGTCAAAATACGTCCCACTCCTGGGCATGAGTTTCCACCCGGGCGAGAGTTTTAGGCCATAGTCCACTACGCGGGCCCTCAATGCAGGTTGGGGTCATCACACGTTTTCCGAGGATTGTGAACACTTCTTCGACGTGCAGGTCTCTTCACGATGTTTTTTTTCATCGAAAATCTCATGGTGAATTTCAAATTAAATTTTGCACATAAATTCCGAAAAACTCAAAGGTATAAGGCCGGTGTCGAACCCACTGCCTCTGCTTAAGAAGCGATAGGTCAAACCATTAGGCTGCAACGCCTTCGGTGGTGCCGTTTGGTGCACTTTAAACACAATGTGGCAATATTATGTAACGCAAATTGCTTTTTTAATTTAAGTAATTGAATTTATTGGACATTGTGATATCTATACTATTTTGTCAGGGTTAGCTCAATAATTAATTAACGTGCACGTGTGACACGTCTTTTCTCACCAATATCTAGGTCGTAGTAGTGAGAGCGGGCGAGCCGCAGCGACCTTAATTGACTTATACACTACATAATTTATTTAAAATTAATTTTATTTCACTTAAAATTTAATCAATGCATGATTGTATGGACTGTGACGTGTGAATCAGTTGGACGCCGGACGGAAAGAACAACCAATGAGGAAATGTTAAGAATTAGAGCAGGAAAAGAGAACCGAAGAGAATAGAAAACCGAGGGGAAAGATGTGCACCTCATCTAATACGTTACGACGATTGAAGGAAAGAGAGGCAGAGGAAAAGACGACGTTATGTAGATCAGATAAAAGAAAAAGCGCTGAAAAGCGATGATTGCCGATTACTCCACTGACAAGAGCCTTGCTCTTAAAGAAGAAGTTGTCTGAACCATATAAATGAATCTGATTTCAATTACTAACACACATGAAATATAATATTATAATACCCAACATTTTATTGTTATTGTTATTTTTATGTTATTACTTACTTACTACACATACATTTTAGAACTACTTAATTCTCAAATGTGAATACATTGTCCATTGTCACAAATTTACAGAATGTAATGTAACGGGGCATATCGTTAAAAACATTTTAGCAAGTAAGACTATTAGCACCGCTAACTTTTTAACCAATTTCAAAGAAAGGAGGAAGTTTTCAATTCGACTGTATGATTTTATAAAAATGTTTCTATAAAAAGTCTTTGTTAAAAATTTGTTTTGTTGTACAATTAAGTGTTTACGTACATATACACATTTTATTTGTATGTATATTACGCGATAACTTTGTGAACCGACTTTGATGATTCTTTTTTGTTGGAAAGATGGTACATCGGCAGTGATCCCATTTAAATTTGAAGAAAGTATTCCACCTCTAAGGGTGGCAAACTAGGGGAGGTGTCGTGTACTTTCCGGTAACCGATTTCAATAAAACTTGGCAAACAGATGTAATTCCACAAATTTTGGTGGTCGGTTTTTTTATGAAAACCATTATTTTCTCGGATTAAAAAATATTTTTTTATTAAAGTAGTATGTTATTCTGACCCTTTTAATACAACCTCTTTAAAGAACAGTAGTTGATGTGGTTTAAGGAAATTCCTGTTTACAACACAATCTTTTGGCTATGTCTATTAGAGCTTCCGTTCAAACGAAATACGGTCCCAAACGTAACAGAGTAAGAAATCCACTTAAAGTTATTAAAATACAATAGACCAGAGCCGCAGCGGCACAGCTATCAGCCTAATTGAAAACTGCACTGTGGCGGTTATGTGTACCACTTTATCGATAAGTTTACACACATGCTGTGCTTACCGCGTGCTGGCGACGCCAACGGCTGTTGCATTAAATTTTATTATGACTGCATGGCTTTAATATGCGAAATTGGTTTCAAAAGCAAAACAAAGCTGAACGTACAGCTTGTGACTTAACATTTCAGTAGGTACATACGTGAGTGTTACAATAATGTTTCCAACAGTATTAAGACTCGTTTATATTTGCATACACATCGTTAATATTTATTTTTAACGCGTCACGCATTGACTTATCACGCATCCTAGAGGCACGCTGTGTCTCTAACGATTTTGGTACTGTAGCGTCCTGGAGACACGCCGTGCCTCTAATGATTTTGGTACTGTAGCGTCCTGGATGCACGCGGTGACTGTAACGATATTGGTACTTTAGCTTCCTGGAGACACGTGGTGTTCCTAACGATTTTGATATTATAGCGTCCTGTAGACACGCGGTGTCTCAAACAATTTTAGTGCTGTAGTGTCCCGGAGAATTTTGGAACTGTGGCAACTAAAACTAAACAATTCTGTGCCTCTAACGTGCAGTTGTGTTTTCAATGGACTTTTGTTTTTTTACTATAATCATCCTTCAGCCTCTCCGCATTCAAGAAATCCGCTATTAAACGGCTCATTTGACCTATTTTAAGATTTTTTTCTATTTTAAAATTCTTCTATATTGTTATTGTTGTTTTTGTTCATAAGATTGCACAATCTATAGTTTTCTGAATATTGTGTACAGTTATAATTGGAAAGCAGATTTACTGATGTTTCTTTTTAAAATTATATTGCTTGAAAATAATGCTGTAATCTGTTTTCTGTAATTTGTACCATTACAATAAAAATATAAAATAAGGGACATTGTGATGTGTAGAAACTTCTTCACATACCTAGGACATAAACCAAAAAAGAATTTGGTTTATGTCCAACAGTGGATACGTAGAAGTTGATATGATGATGAGCATTTTATTTTTAATTTCATTAGTTGATTAAATAAAATAGCATAATCATGAATTAAACGTCAAAAATCTTGTATGATGTCTCTAATTTTTGGTATTACATAATAAAATCTAAGTATTTATATTAAACTAGACTTTCCCATTAATGTGTAAAATATTCCTAATAGCATACTAAATTAAAATACACAAAAAACAACTATGGAAAGCAAGCCATGGCGAAGGAGTGGACAGGTGAAGGAGTTTCTTGATATTTCCTTTTTAATGTAAATTTCGCAGGTTTAAATCTTTCAACTTTGGCCGTTACCAAAGTTAAAACTGAAAATTATGTCTCCTGGGGAAATATTAACTCAACATTTTAAATAACACAATTTGTAATACCAAAAGCAAACACGTTACTGCAATTAAATGCAGAAATGTTACTCGATTACTAAGAAATTGATATGATGTGACAGAAGATCGGAATAGACAGAGTATATATTATTTACTGAAATTTCAAAGATGTAATACAGGTAGAGTCGATAATACCTGCCATGGAAAGGCTGAAATAAGTTTATTGAAATTTTGATTTGTAACTGGCAATGACTTCAGTTTTTACCTTTTTTTATCAATGTAACTCCACATTAAATATTAAAATACGACTCTTTATGACAATATGGTACGAGGTTCGATGACAGTTGCAAACCGCTGTTCAAAAGGCTGAACATATTACCTTTGCCATGCATGTACATTAGGGATATCTGCATATTTGTCAACTCTCATCCTCAATATTTTAAAACACGCGGTGAAGTCATTCAAAGGCAAACTAGAGCAAAAATTATGAATCTCTTGTGCCAACCTTGTTGCCATAAAGTAATTTATAAGAATAACTGCTTCAACATGTATATAATTATTTACAATAAATTACCAAACGAAATTAAATTGTTACAAGAACATACTTTTAAATTAAAATTGACAAAATGGCTTTTGACACATTGCTATAAAGAATACTTAGAATTTACAAATTCATTACATTAATTAGAAACTATAGAGACTAAACATTGAATCCCATTAATATTTCTTTTTCCCATTAATACTTCTGCTTGCAGGTTGAATACAATGTACCAAATTTTACTTAAGACCTTTTTAATTACTGTATTCTGGCAAATAAACGTATTCTATTATATTCTATTCTATTCTATTCAAGATACTCGTGTTTAGGGATGTACAGGGTCAAGAGCACGTCAAGCTTGACACTTAAGATTTAAATCCAACTCTATGCCGCTTACGATAAGAACGATCCAAAGTACAAAGTGCCAAGCTTGACGTGCTCTTGACTGCACATACAAAGGTGTGATATGGTGTAGTGACACCCTTTATTAACGACTTTCACGCACTCTAAGAGGAATGTAAACACACAGCAGTATAAACGTACACTACATATAGAAATGTTTTTGTGTGGCGAATAACCGGTATACGAAAAAACTTATTTAAAGCTTTTAAAATGTAATATTAAACAAATTTAAAAAATAATACCTGGAGTTTTAGAGGGAAATATTTTTTACTCTATGTATACTTGAAGTATACTCTGCCTATTTCGATCTATTCTTATGACTTAATTTCTTTTAATAGTAGGCGCCATCTCATCGTAAACTGCTATAAAACTCTCATTGATTAATTTAATTTAATTTATTCATAAAACAGATTACAATGGTTCAAATTGGTTAGTAACAAGATATAGAATACCATAATAATACTTCATTTTATTTTGTTTCAGTACGCAACGGCTATTCCTGCGTGCCAGTAGCTCTTTCGGATGGTCTCGACATCAAACTTGGTACATCAGTCACAGATATCGTATACGGAGGCCCAGGAGTCATCGTGAAGGCCGTCAATCCTAGGGCTCCAAGTCAGCAGCAGGTCTACAAGGGTAAGAAACTCCACATTAATTGGTATGAAACTGCTGAGTACCGCTTCAATTTTTATTAGGTATCATTTAACGTACGAACGTTAAATAATACCTAATATAAATTTAATGATATCGGAATAGCACAGATTTCGAATAAACTTGCATTGTATTGCACCTTAGTTTTAGTTGTAAAGGCACATAAGGCTTTTAATTTCAGCACAAGATAGAAGTGTAAGTATTCAAAGCAAATAACTTTTCAAACACACAACAAAAACATTTCATTCCATTTTCGTTATTCGGAAAGTTCCAATTATTACCTGCTATTGAATGACCCCATATTTAATGTATAAATGTTTCACGTTTGCTTTTGTAAATATACAGCAAAATTTCTATTAGGTATGTTTCAGATACACGTTTCGAATGTGATATGTTAAACATATCGATACGACCATAAAACGTTAAAGAGAGGATGTCATTGATTACAGCCGTCGGTAGCCCATTTCTAACTTTTGCCCCAAAAAATTATATTTATATATCCATGAATAGGGAAAAGTCGTGTAGTAAAAAACAATTCGATTACACGAACAAATTTTCAAAAAGGTTCCGTTTCTGGTTTGACGGTGTGGGTTTCTGCTCTATTGAGCAGCAAGTATGTAGAAAATTGTAGCTATACTACTGAAATTTAGATTTTTAGGTTTTTTTTTATAACGCATACAGTCGTAGTTATGACTGTAAACATCAAGTAATTGTAATTAAACAATTTAATCAAAGGAAAAGCTTAAAGTATTTTAAAATTCACCTAGGAGCTCCAAAGCTTCAACTAGAAGCTCTATAGATTTCTTATTATAAGGTCTTCTATGACTAGTTATGTAAGGGTCCGAAGTATACAAAAGTGTATGTAAGATGTCTTCATTAAGTATGTGTGGCTATTCTAGAGCATTTTCTAGTATGATGAAGTCTGAAACGTTTATAATCTTTGTTCCTTGAATCTTGAGCGTTTTCCGAGAGTAGTCCAATCGGTACCACAGAATAATGCCGAATCACACTTTCCCCGTGAATTAAGACTTTATGGATGACGACACAGAGAATGGCATATAATACCACTTATATTTGTTAATATATAGTTGCGCTGTCTCGAATGCATATTGTCCATATTTCGTGGCTTCAATAACTTTTCCGCTTGACATAACTTGAAGTATAACATAAAATCGTCGTATCAATCTCTCATCCACACCAGTAATTTCTGATGTACAAACATAATTTTGAAAAAATCTCCAAGCTATATTGCCATCATTAGTATTTCCATTTACTTGCTTAGGTTTATCTATATTTAAACCAAGTTCTTCTCGAAACTTCCTTTGCACATAACTTTTCTTTTGTTTTTTCAGGTCTTTGTTCTCTGTTGTTGTAGCAGACCATTTCTCAAAGTTCAAATTGTAACATATATGTAAAATTAGTTCCATGAATCTGATCCAACAATATAAAGTGGAAAGGCCATATTGATAGGAACTTTCGTCAACAGGTTTCTTTGTACATTTTCTAAATTATTCATCTCTGTAGGTCTTGCGCCACAAATGATACATACAGCGCCTGATGAAGTCACTGACAAAACTTGAGCCATTTTTCCATCAACCATTGTTAAAAATAACGTATGCGTGATTTTAACACCTTCACCATATTTGTTAATTAAGGTCGGAGTAAGAGTGGCTATGTGAGCATTAATTTCAGCAACTACACTTGTGGCCTTCTCGGGTGTCTCTTTAGAAAATTCCATTAAAATTGGGCGACAAAATCTTACTGATGATGGAATCGGATTTTCCCACACAGTTTCATTAGTATTAATATCAACAAGTTTCAGGGGCACTATTGAAGATATAAATAAACTTGCATCGGAAACTAATTCAGTCTCTTCAGACAGGACTTGTTTGTACTTGCTTTGTCCGCTTGATCTATCACAGCCCCATTTAGAATATAACATTAAATGGGTTAAACCAACTTTGTGAACGCCATTGATTTTCAGGATTCTTGCTGTAGTGTGATCCAAAAGATCTTGAAGTTTTATTTTTGCCATGATGATATTGATTTCTATGCTAGATTCTAGTGGATAGCATGTTCGTTTAGCTTCCTGAATTGATTTGTAAGATGGAAACCACAAGCAATTCTTTGATATTAAACAATTTGTCATGATTTCATATTGTGACTTGTTCAGATCCAACTCTACAAAAATGCTGAGAGCTTCATCCTTAGAGCAGGCCGTTACTGGATCATTTAAAAGATTGTAGCGTATTTCATTTGTTTTTTCTACCGGCAGTATCCGTAAAATTTCAACAATGAATGCTTCATCTGTTTCACCATTAGATCGCAGACCCTGAAGGTAGGAATTTAGTATAAAATCAAGACCACAATTTTTAAGTAATTCTTTATTTTTCCGTTTTTTTTTTGTTCTCTCTGAACTATCTTCGTAGGTTTTAGGAGGTCGTCCTCGCTTTTCTGTCGATGAAGAAGGTGCAGATTCGCAAGTCGAGTCTTCAGGATTCACGGTGAATATACCATCCAACCACGCACTATTTTGGCTTAAGAATTGTTCTTTTTTTCTACCAGATTTGGTGAAGCGTTGACGAAATTGAGAAATTAGATTTTTTTTAATACATGTAATAAATAATCTTTGCGATATTTCTCTCCAAATATTCGTTATAATTGTCATAACATAATTCATATCACTTTCAATTAACACGAGACATAAGTCGCGTCTAGTGCAGGAAAATTCACTCATTGCAGAAAAGTGATTAGGTAGGTACACTTTCAGTAACAATAATAACAAGTGAAAAAGTATATTTTTTGTTATGCAAATGCGCTATTTATACATAACATTGATGTGAAGCGTGCGTGTGAAACGGTTTGATAAAAACTATCTACCACTATGTGCGGTTTTCGATAATTTTATCATAGTAAATTGTATACGTGAACAAAAGTACGGTGAGAAATTCTATATATTTTACCTAAATAATAACCACGCTGTATACAATATAACATAAAAGACATATCAACTAATAAAAATTACTCTTCGTTAGCGTCGTAAGAACAAAATTTCCTAAGTTCACGTTTTAATAAATTGACATATGTGACAAATGTTTTTTTCTTGTAATATAAATTAGTTACTTTTCCTATGAAACAACACTATTTATAGAGCATCGGCAAATTTCGGCAACAGTCAAAACTCTAATTGAATATTAAAGATAAGCAAAATTAGCATATCACGAGATGTACATAGCTGATGGGTACATTTACGAGAGCAGATTATATACATGTACTTCAGAAAAAATTACATATTTTCAGCTTTCCAAAATGGTATAACACTTGTATTATTACTATTGCTATGTCACTGTAAATTCATATTGAACAAATCACAAATTTAAAATTATTTTAAACATTTTTTCATTCCGCATATTTGGCTGCTCTATGCCATGAAATAGTATCATACAGAAGTTTAAATGATATATATTTGTATAAATTGACCTTTTAGCTTAAATTTGAGGTATAATACATGTATCTCCTCAGACTTTTGGCAAAACCATTTATGGCATGGCTCTCTTAGGCGGTTCCCCATAGTGCCCCGCAAGGCCCGAGGCTCTTCCGCTACATTTACGCCATTTGCTGCGATGTCTATTGCAGGATGGGTTGTATGCTCGGAAGGCGGTACCAGGCTAGGCTCAACTAGTTCTGTCTCGATTACACTAGAAAATCTTGTTTAGGCTTTGTGGTTAAGTATAGCTTGTTAGAAACGTGCTAATAATATTTGACATTCTACGTTATAATATTAATAATCTGTCATTAATTAACCGGGGAAAATTATGTTCAACAATATGAAACCTATATGAAGTTTTCCTTTGTTCTATACGTTATATATTAGTATCATAGCAAGAACCAATTTTAGTAGGTATCTGATATTTAATTTACCTACTGTCTTTTCTGAAACATGTGCTCGTATAGAATTTATTTATGATATAGTTAAAGGAAAAGTAGCTATTACTTACCGGACGTCTCTATTGCGACTGTACAATGGAATATATAATAGACTGAAAGAAAGTCTTGGCTAGAGAACATTTTATAATATGATATTAGACAGGCTTTTTTTTGATCTTATCTTTTTATTCCGAATTGTTAAGTATATTAAGATTAGATGATGTAATGTACTTGACTATAATGCACTAGGCAGCGTATGTCATTTGAATGTTTAGGATAGGCGTATCGTTAACCACCAGGCCCACGACTTGTTCGTCCCGTCACTTATAATCATAAAAAAAATAATTGTAGTATAAATAGGTACTATATATATTTTTTATAATATCAAGTGACAGGACGTACAAGTCATGTGTCTGGTGGTAAGCTACACACCTGTATATAACAGTTGCAGTGCCACTCAGAGCTTTAAACTGCAAAGGTTCGAGGGGTACTGCTACAGCACCTGTCACCCTGAGACATGAGTTGACAAGTCCCATGTGCCAGTAGTTTCACCAGCACTGTTACCCTTCAAAACCGGAACGCAGAAATGGTCACATTACTGCTTTGCGGCGGAAATAATTAAGGTGGCCGTACTTCCCTTGACGAACTCCTTCTCAAGGAGTTTTACTGCTTCTAAAAATTTCGATTCTACGTAAGAATTCTATTTATTAGGCTGGTAATCTTTCCTGTCACATTGTGTGTCCATTTTTCTCAGTTGTAATAAAAACTAACTTCATCATTTCATGAAATAATGGAGCCATAAGAATAAAAAGTGAAGTGCATTATACTCATTTAATATAAATGTATCTCAACAAGTCATTATTTATTACTATCCTGAACAAATGCCTCCAGCAATGTGCTAACCAAAAACGAGAGTTGCAAAACCGCCGAGCATAATTTACCTGAATCTGCTGCAGACGCATCCGTTGAAATAGAAAAACCACGCTAACCACGTGTCACAATCAACGCAAAAAGGTTTTATTTAGCATGCGGGGTTCCTGGCTTTGTCCCGGTCAAGCGTCGGCTTTCACCCTGATTACTTCCGCCCCGCGGTCCGTTTCATTCGACAACTTCACGTTCATGGTAGTTTGATAGGGAAAATTCTGAAATATTGGCGTATTACGGCCTATTCTGATACCATACTTACCCGCCATTTATAGTATCTTGAGTTAAGCTTAGACCCAATGCTCGGTTTTCATTTTTATTACTATTGAATCTATATTTTGTAACACATATTTAAGTTATTAATTCTTTTCTGTCCAAGTAAGCAGTACTATAATACCACGGACACCCTTATCATAACTAACGTATTGACATTTTTAGCGAAATTGAGTTATTTAACGTATGTGGAATCCCGTTATAAGCGGTTTTTTATATCTTATTTAGTTTCAGTTTTATTGTTAAGCAAAAACAAAGTAATTGACATTTGTCTAAGAAAAAAAAAAAATTTGGTGCCAATAACTAACGAAAGTTTCCAAAATGCAAATGCGTTAGATATGACAATAAGGGCAGGTTTAGCCGTATTAATCATATTGGGCTTCTACAGAATATTCAGAAATAGGAAGAAAAATCTTTTTTCCAATACCAAGCTTTGCGGCACAGCTCTTTTAAAATTCTTATCTAAAAGTTATATTTTTTCAGGTGACGTAGTTCTTTGCACACTTCCACTGGGTGTGCTCAAAGTAGCCGTGGCCAACAATGGCCAAAATCAACAAAACCATGTTAAGTTCGACCCGCCGTTGCCGGACTGGAAGGTTTGTTTTACAATCTATTTTAATTTTCTTTTATTTCATAGATGAGTGTGCTCTACGTTTCGGAGAACTTCTCAAATTTTTGTAAATTGTAAGAGTATCATATTTGTTTTAAGGTGGCGGCTATAAAACGACTTGGATATGGAAATTTGAACAAAGTTGTACTTTGCTTCGAACGTACGTTTTGGGATCCTAGCGCAAATCTGTTCGGACACGTCGGAACTACAACCGCCAGCCGAGGTTAGCAATCTCCCTATTATATATTTCATCTACATAGTTTTTGCTTCACCGCTAGCTCAGCATTTCAGGGAGTAGAGGTTACTTAGTCTAAGCGTTCGGAAAGCTGAAAGCCCACGGGCGAATTAATATCCTTGAATATTTAACACTTATGTTGTACTTTAAAAGTTGTTGAACACAATACCCAATTTTCATAATTAATTTGTTGAAAACATGAGTATGACCCAGTAATGAATCCCACCGGAACTCGATTTCATTTTGCTGATACATAATTATTATGGAGAAAAGTAAAAGGCGCAAAACAAAGAGCAAATTATGAGAATTAAGTGTTTGATTGTCTGCTGATAGTTTAGACGCTGCAGTAGGTTCGTGTTCTCACATTACTTTTAAAGTGACATCGGGCGATAGCAGAACATCTGATATCCCACACACGGCGAGCCCGAAAACACTAAATTGGCCACAATAAAAAAAACACGAGAGTACATTGTTCCGGCATTCCCAGCATAAGCATGGGGGCCTTAATGAAGATAGCTGGGTACACAACAAAGCTAAGGAGGTGTACTAAAGCATAACGTAAAAAGAGCTTGTCTTGGCTCTTTGCGGTGATTTATCGCAAACAGCGCCCCTCAGGGTTCCTCAGTAGCGTTAAATTATTCAGCTTTTAATTCGTTATCGCGGCCACCGCTGTTTCTACGTTTACTATTTACACCGGGAAATAATTTACGATACACATCCGTGGGCCGGTGTGAGATACCTACGGTTAATTTTGCGGGATGTAGTGTCGACGAGGCTTCTCTAATATTGACCCGAGGGAGCCTGACTATGAGGCATGTTTCATCCAAGAATGTCTACACGTTCTCGCATTAGAATTTAATAAACTTAGTGAACGGATTACGTAACTGCTGAAGGATCCTTACCTATACTTACCGAGAAACCTATATGTATGCCTATAATTTTTTTGTTTAATTAACAGGAGAGCTCTTCCTCTTCTGGAATTTATACAGCGCACCGGTTCTACTGGCGCTGGTAGCTGGAGAAGCTGCAGCTGTGATGGAGAACGTTACTGATGACGTTATCGTTGGTCGATGCATAGCTGTGCTGAAAAGCATTTTCGGGCATGCCGCTGTGCCACAGCCTAAAGAGTGTGTGGTTACTAGGTAATGTGCTTTTATACATACATTTTACGTTTACTTCACGCCCTTTTCCTAACGGGGTAGGCATGTGTGAGCGTACCTTATTTTATGTTATAAATCTCATATAAAGTCGAAAACTTAATTATGCCTTAAAGATTTTATCGGTTTTTTCTAAAATCATTAAAGTACAGATTGTAAACTGTAGTTAAATTAAGAGAGTTAGTTAGTATATATGAATAATTTCATCTTCATTTCAGGTGGCGTGCTGATCCCTACGCTCGTGGCTCCTACAGTTTTGTAGCAGTAGGATCTTCGGGAACTGACTATGATCTGCTAGCAGCTCCCGTTCCAGGAGCTGATGGAGAGAATAGACTGTTCTTTGCAGGTTTGTATAATAGGCAACATTTCATACTGGCGATCCTTTACACGAGTCCTGAAAAGCTGATTACAAATTCCACGGAGTTGATTTATAACAATACTGAGCATAATAGAAACAAAAAGAACAGGTACCTGAATTTTCCGGAAATGAAAATGATCTGATGGACTCGGTAGCCCAGCGGGCTCCATTCTGGGCATATGACTACTACTGCCTCCGTGGCCGAATGGTTACCATGCCGGACTGCAACGCAGAGGTCCCAGGTTCGATTCCCGGGCCGGGCGAAATATTTGTATGGCCTACATTTATTTCTCTCGTGAGTTTGGGTGTAATTTGTGGTTGTCTTTGTGTGTATATGTGGCATCCGTGACACAGGGTTTCCCTAGTTCAGGGCTATGTAGAGTGTGTGCATTGAGTATGTATGCGTTGAGTATGTGTACGTTGATGATGCGGATATTTATTAAGAGGTAGTTCCCCTGTAGTTAAGATTGTCGAGAACATTTATATATCATGGTAATACATCATTCTCATTATTGTTATTTGTTCAATTGTTTTAAAAGTATTTTAGACATTTTTTCACTTTACATTTTTACCTAGTTTAATTTCGGCGTAGAAATTATGAACATACATTTCTGTTGTTCTCCAGGTGAACACACAATGCGTAACTACCCTGCCACGGTGCATGGCGCGTTCCTCTCAGGGTTACGCGAGGCGGGTCGTCTAGCCGATCTTCTGTTACCTCAGCCACCGATTACAAATGCGAGTGTCGCTGCAGCAACTGCTGCTGCTGCTGCCGCTGCGGCACATTACAAATCTTAGGTTTCTAAATAACTTAATGCAACGGCCTCAGAAAGTTAATGATTTACTTTCAATAACGTCACGATCTTTAATTACAGTACCACCAATTTATTTGTAATAAGCAATACAAGTAACTAACGGCAGAATAGTAAAAAAAAAATCAAACGTCGTTACTGTGATTACTAGCAACACTCCATTAGTCACTAGTGCCTCATACACATGTTGATCGACTTATAGTTTAGTTTGACAGCTATATGGCACAACACAATATGTTCCCAAGTAAGCATAGCAATGAATCATTAAGCGCCCTGTAAAATATCAAAAAATCGTAACTTAAGTTATTGAATGTCACGATGTTTGACCACCATGATATTCAATTATTTTTGTGAAACTAAGCTGGATTTACATTTGTCTGACGTGTCACGTCGTGACGCATCAGACCAGTATCGGTTTATACATTTAATATGCCGTGACGGCTTGTGCTGTGTGTATAAAACCGATACCCTCCTGACGCGTCACAACACGACATGTTATTCATCTGTAAATCCGCCTTTACTCCACTAGTTTATTATAATTATTACTATAAAAAATTCTGATCCGGCTGGTTTCGAACCAACGTCTTTCAGCAAACCGTGCCATCAGCAAGCCATGGAACGAACTAACGGACCTTACGAATTTTTCTATTTGTTTGTTGCAGATCTTTGCTTTTGTTTAAATTCTCATTCATTGGTTCCGTGGCTTAGTTGGCATAGCGTCTGTCACAGTTTGTTGAAAAAGGTTGGTTCGAATCCAGCCAGGTCGAAGGATTGTTTTCCAAGTGTTCGATCTTTGTATTAATTATCCAAAAATTTGTCAAAGTTTTTGGACATCCGCGATCATGTTTGATGCGTTTGTTGAATAAACTACGTGTATGATGAAAGTCTAGATTTGACTCCGTTTTGCACAAACAAATTTGTCCGTCAATCAAGACGGCAGTGCTCGCCTAAAATATAGTTGTAGTAGCGATAGTAACTCTTCAAAAATTTTGTTGTTCATGTGAAGAAAGTTAGAATAGTCTTCTATTTCTTCAGTCAACCATTCTCTGGACCAACGTCTATTCATTTTTTTCTTAATACAGTGTTACGGTTGTTGCCAGAAACGCTTTGTCTGTTACTTTTTTTGTAGTACGGTACTAATTACAGGGAAAATTGTCAAAATTGTTTGATTTGCAATTTGATGTTTTGCATTTTTTGAAGAAAACGCGAAGTTTGATGGGCAAATTTGACAAGCAAATTGAATCGTTTACAAGGTGCTTAAGGGATATATCAAACTAGTCGACGCGACATCGACTTGTGTATTGTGTTGGTTGTCGATAGGTAGACTTTAGGTACCTAAACGGGCTCAATGCATTTAATTAATAATTTAGAGAAATCGAACGCCGTCTAGGGAAACGAAAAAGATTACATAATCTTTGTTTTGGTTCAGTCATGTTTTGTGCCTTATGTATATGTGAATGTTATATTAAACAACTAAAGTATGTCAATTTATATACGAGGTTTTTACCCACAACCATCGAGTATATAACCAGAAATAGAGGAAGAAGACGAAATGTCATTTAATTTGTTTGAAAACTATTCTGCCAAATCATTACGGTGACAACAGCCGATTGGCCAACCCGAATTCGAAACAATTGACGGGTGTCGTCAATTGTTTCAATTCAAATCGACCAGTTTAACTTGAGCTTTGCTGTAATGGATGGAAATTGAAAAATTAGATATTTAATTACCGATGAAATATGGTTCCGTTTGTTTTGTAAATAGATTTTTTGATGTTTTTCCCACACCACCGAATAGAACGGCTCTCCATAGTTAGAGACATCTTTATTACAATAAATACAGAATATTTTTGGAATATACGGAGACGTACACACTGGTCAGTTGTTGGCGCTGTACTATGTCAACTTTCTAATTTGTAATTTTCAATGCAAACGAGAGTTGATATTTAAAAGTGATATCCTTATATCACTTTTAAATATACCTTTTTTTAAATACCCATTTGCCTGATGAGCTGCCAGGGATGGATGGCCCTTATTTCGTCTTTATTTATTGTTATATACTCGATGCCCACAACATTCAAATTATAAGTAAGTACCTACAAAACTGTCCCAAATTAAAATTATGGAAAGTTTATAGAAAAATTATTACAACTTTCTTATAAAAAAACCGACTTCAAAAGTTTATGGAATTACTCCTATTTGCCAAGTTTTATTGAAATCGGTAACGGAAAGTGGGTGAAATCCAAAAATACTGTATTCATCCCCTAATTTGCCGCCCTTACAGGTGGACATTTTCGCCAAATTTGAATGGGACCACTACTGAGGTACACCCCTTTCCGGCAAAAAATAATAATCTAAATCGGTTTACAAATGCGGATTAATCGCGTAACATACACACAATAAAAAATACAGTCCAATTGAGAACGTCCTACTTTTTTGAAGTCGGTTACAAACAATCCTTTTACTTACGGTATTAGTTTTCCGTGCTATAGAATTAGTATATAGAAAATGTTAGTAGTTTAATGTGCGCATGAGTGATAATTTTGTTTTAATCTAAAGAAAAATGTACTAGTGACTTAATTAATTCCGATGTGACAATTGTTTTATTAATTAATATTATAATGATAATCATTACTCAGTTTGTATAAGTTTGGTTTACCATAATTTAATAGCAAAATTTTAAATGTAATATTTAGTTCTTTTTTTAAATAAACGAATACTCTTTAAAAATAAACTTTTTCCTTTGAGTAATTCCAATATTTTGTTCTTTATTTAAATGTTCAAAAACAAGCGCTTTAAAATAAAAACAATTTATTGTAGGATCGTATACAAAGGTGCGTTCAAGCAAAAGAAAATACTAATTGGACAATTTGCTGGTCTTAAACAAACACACCTGCCCTACCTGTGTTATTGCCTTCTTGCTATAATGGGTGCTCAGCTTGTTGTATTTTCAACTTTAAATCACAACCGTCAAGGTTTACGGTAAAAGCAGAAGAAATTATATTCAAAGATTGAATTTGAGAAACAATAAAAAGTCTTTATTTATCAAGAATTGATTTGATTGGGAAGTCGAGGTGATATACACTTCATTTAACTTGTACCCAATCGCAAGGGTAGACGTCTACACATGATCACAATACAAATACTGTTTATTACAGATTTTGACGGCGGCCTTATACATAATATATAAATAGCAACCTCTTCCAGGCAACCTCGGGTTGATCTGTCACTAAATACGACTCTAACATCCACACACACACTAGATTATTTATTTTTCAAATATAAAGTACAGTATAAACTGCGCTACATGTCAAAGAATAGGATATTATGTTGAGATCGTCAAAAAAAAAGAAAATTATAAGATGAAATATGCACATTAATTATAAAATCAACAATTAATTAATGATAAATATTGTTGTCATTAAATTATATTATGAATATTGTTTTCATCAAGGATCAATATTAATACTTCAGAAATTGATAACAAATACATGACACGAGGAAACAGTACAAATGTATGTTCAAGAAACAAAAATTAATAAAAATAAAATAGAAAATAGAGGATAGCTTTACTATTGAAGGTCCATAAATAATAATAATACTTAATATAAATAGAGAAATATAATTGTACTTACATATACAGTATGGTATGTATAATATATACGATATACATACCATACTATAAATGACCAATGCTGATGGTGAATACCGATTAACCATCTATGTAAATTCGGACCGGAAGTGAGATAGTTCAAATCTAATCAGAAATCACCTCCATGATCAACATCAAAAGAAAAAAAAAACGCCGGCGCTAACGCACGTAGCGCCTGGGTGCAATATTTTTTTATACATATATCCGAGATGATGATGATGTAACCCTTTTTTTTTTTTTTTTAACGGTGGGGAATCCTTTATGGATACCCCCGAGCCCGGGCGGCTCGGAGGTTATGTGGGAGTCCCGGCGCCCTGAAAAGGGCGCTGCTCCTGGGTCTCGCATGGACCCAGGGGTGTACCCACTAAACCCCATCGGTTTGCCTCTCGCCGGGTTTGTGCCGGCGCCGTGGGATCATCTCTATTTCACCACGACGCCGCCCGGCCGCCCCGGCCACTATGCCGCGGGGCTCCCGCGCCTATGGAGGAGAGGATCGGTTTTCTCCGCCCCTCTCCCCAGACGATTGAGGCCGTGCAATGCGAACAGGGGGCCAATGATGATGTAACCCAACCCAACCCAAGTAATTGGATGAACAAGTCGTGCGCCTGTCGGTAAGCTACATGCCTGTCTATAACAGTTGCAGTGCCACTCAGAACTTTTAAATCGCAAAGATCTGAGGGGCACTGTCTCTGTGCCTGTCACCCTGAGACATAAGTTGACAAGCCCCATGTGTCTGTAATTTCACTAGCACTGTTACCCTTCAAAATCGGAACACAGTAAAGCTGGCGTTACTGCTTGCCGGCAGAAATAGGTAACGTGGCAGTACTTCCATGGACGAACCCTTTCACAAGGAGCTCTACTGCAGTCGATCTCGGCTGCATGAAGTCGGTTTCGATTGTATGCAGTTAATGCGTGAAGTCGTTATCAACTTCATGCAGTCGTGGTCACGGCAGCATGAAATTGATTACGACTTCACGCTTTAACTGCAAACATGCAGTCAATCTGATAGCAGCCTCAATACGCTTGCGCCGCAGGCTCTTTAGAAGGCTCCCTTAAACCCCTGCTCTCCTGTGCGCCGCACACCCTGCACCATAAGTAGAGTTGGCACTGGTACACTTAATAAGACTACAGTGGTAACCGCCTCCTATTGACACTTGCCGTACCAAGACATATCCTAAATATGACAAACGCATTGATGTGGGACATAATATTGTAGCGCAGGCTGGATAGAGTACTTTACTATTAGATCACAGTAAATTTTTAATACCTCTCACTGTGCTATGACTAAGGCTACGCTCCTACAATACATCGTTTCCAGTGCCGAAATTACGCACCTTCTGTTCAATCTGGAAATTAGCGTTACTGCTTTGCGGTAGACATTGTAGGTAGGGTGTTGGTTCTTACAATCCTAACACCGATCAAATATAAAACACTTTACATCCGGTTTTATCTGCTTATAAATTGATATACGTAAAAACTAATTTTCTTTCTATTATTTTTTTACGTATACAATATTTTTATTTCGAGCCTTTTAGACGGCTTGTCCGATATTTATAAATAACATTTCAAGAAACTTAAAGTTAGGCGATTTTTATTATTGAAGCCGATGAACCCAGAACACAATGTGTTTGTTATTAGAACTTGGCCCCTCTATCACAATATTTTTTTTTTGGCAGAATATATTTATCTTCTTTATCACATACATATATATACTAATAAGTAAAGTGCCTAATAAATATCGTTGTTATTGAAATCACTTATGTGCTAAAAAATAATAAAATAAAATAAAATAAAAATCTTTTATTTCGGACCACAGTAATCCATATAAATTAGTAGGTTAGTAACATAACAACTTATAACTATGTTAGTTATTAGGGTTAGTACAATTACATAACTAAAATTAATACAATTAAAAATAAAAATAAAATGAGACGGACCCGGCTGTACAAGCGGCTCACCGAGTCGCACGCAGTACATGTAATTCGGTGAACCTCTGGAAAACTGCTGCATCCATCCTGTTTGCAATTAGCTTTATTAAAGCTAAAGTCTACACGTCTACCATAATCCGCAGCGATGGCTATCAAAGAAGGGTTTCAATATACGGTCTTAATAAAACTAGTTAACAAGCCATCTATTTATTTATAGAGGTTGTATTAATTTCAGAATGTTTACGCTAGGCGGGGCACTTGATGGATTTACGGCCAATTTTAATTCCATTTTTAATTGTTTCTAAGCCAGCAGCAAATTAAAAAACGTTGCGGCTTAAGGCGTATATATACAGGATACATGACTCAAGCAGTCAGGCGCATGTTTGAGCTACAAATTCTGGGGTATTGAAATCAGTTGGCTATTATGGTGATTGCATTGACTGCTGGAAAACTGCATGGTAAGTATATTTTTGCAGGTCTCGTACGTTTCAAATGCAGTCCTTCTGCATACCGCCTAAAGATATTATCATTAGATAAAGTTAATAATACATATAAAAATATTTATAGTACATGCTACATCCTAAGTTATGACTCCATTATGGTTAATCTTGTCTATCAAGCGAAATAAGGCAATTTGTTTAGTTGATCATGTTACCGTTTAATTGAAATAGTTAATGAGCCGTTTGCAGTAATGTTTTTTATAACTAAACTTATTAGAACAATTTTATTATAAAATTGCAATATGATTGATATACGATAAACCTGTAAAATTAGATATGAAAAATAAAAAATATTTTTTTGGAGCCTACTACGAAAAAGGTCACACAAAATTGTAAACATGTAGTAGTAGTCGGTGGATAGGTATTTTAAAAAGCCACAAAGTTTATTATGCGACAAATGTAGGTACGGCAAATGCTCTAATTTCGAGATGTTCGCTCTCAATAT